CTCCTCAGGGCTGCTCTCCAGCCAGATTAAATATCTTCTCCATAATTGCCACTGCTGTCTTATGGTTTTTCCCTACTTATTTGTTGGGCATTAAAGAGGTCTTATCAAAAAATTCTGAGCATCATCAGAAAATCTCACCATCAGAGAAATGTAACATGTTTACTTTAAATATCAAAAGTCCATTGTTTTAATAGCAGCTATAAAAATACAAAATTATATTCTAGCAGACTATATTTAATAGTTTAGAATAAGGAATTGCAACGTAATGGTAACTTTTGATTAAAACATTTATGTTTCTATTGCAGATTGCCACAGAAGCCATTGAAAATATTAGAACTGTTGCTAGTTTGACCCGAGAAAGAAAATTTGAGTTGATGTACAGAGAGCACTTGTGTGGACCATACAGGTATAATAAAAATAACTAAGCTAAAAAAAGACCCCACTGTATTTTAATTGTACACTAAATTATGAACTTTTACTTGGACAAACATAGTTGGTTTGTTTTTTTTTTTTTTTCCAGCTGTAATGTATAACTTAATTATCTCAGAATTAATGTAAATATTTTGTATATTTTTAATTAGCAGCCAACTTATTTGTTCTTTTATTTAATTAATTTTCTGTGATAATATCGGTATCTTCTGTTGCAATCTCACTTGGTTTGGAAAAACATTAGTTTTCCAAGTGAGCTGTGGAAGTCATCTAATCTAGTGTTACATGAAGTATTTCAGATATTTAATTCAAAACTTTTAAATGTAAATTTAATATTGCATTTTTGAAAGTCTGAATACCACTGAAAAAAAACCTGAATAATTACTTATTGGCGTGTGACTCAAAAAAAAAAGAGGGATATCAATATGCCTTGATTAAATAAAAATTAAAGTGAAAAACCAAAAAGATACTGTCAATTAAAGTCTTATTAGTTCTAAAATGAAATGTTTCATTTTCAAACATGCATGAGAAAAGCAAAGGAAATGACAGCATGTGTACACAGACGATGGGAGAACAGTAGGAGTGCTGCTAATACATCTACCATAATAATTGAGTAGTTAGAGCACAGTGCAGGACATGAAAGATACTACTTAGCTTTTTTTCTCAGGCTGCTGGGTTTTGAGTCCGTATCTCACAACTTGCAGGCCAGTGCCTCACCAGTCTCAGGGCTGACATTGATGGGATTGCTCCAAGACTGTCATCTTGCTTTGTTTCGGTATAAATAAGAACATGCTGCCCAATGGGTCAATTTTGTCTGGAAGAAACAGGACGTGTTTTTCAGTTATTGTTTCAGTGCATGTTAAACCACTGATTAGGCAAAGAGTTTCTATCTTATAAAACCTGAGCTTAAGCCTTCTTTTATACTCAATTAATGCACAAATCAGCTATGTAAAAGGGAAGTCACAACAGCTTCTCAATTAAAAAAAAACAAACTCCACACTTGTAAATCTGGATCCTATTTGTTTTGGTTTGGGTGGGGTTTTTTTTCCAGAAGGAACCATACTTCTGACTTAGCAATAGCATCAATACAATTAAAATATTTTCTTTCTTTTTTTTTTTTCTGGTACATAGTCTCATAGTTACAGAAAATTATCTCTCTGCCTTGCTTTTAGTTAAGAAATAATTTTATAATCCAAAATCTAAAATCCAAAATTTCTGCATCATACTTGCAGGCTTAATCTGATTTGAGAGATCAAATTTGACAGATCAAATTAAAAATAAACAGATTCTTGAGTGTATAATATTGAACTGTTTAATATTTGTTATTGGATTCCCATAAAATTGAAGTAAAGAAAAAATGGCATTAAATTCAGCTTTGGCTGGAGGTGAACTAACAGTTCTTCTCTTTCATTTTCCTATTAAGTGATGCAGCAGTACAATTTCAAACATGTTATTGACATCTTCAAAATGCTAATCATGAACCGAGCTGTAAAATGTTTTAACACTCAAAACTATGAGATGGCAAGATGATAATTATACAGAGTAGCTAAGTTGTCACCTTTTTCTCCAACCATATTCCAAAGTTTTATGGAAGTAAATAAAATTCTGGAAAAAAAGAAAAAAAAACTTTCTCTTGAACACAGTCTAATAGGAGATAAGGGGTTGTGTTGTGACAGTTTCATTTGAAGTCAGTTAATTTTTGCACACTAGGACTTAAGTTTAGGTTTCATTTAACTAAGTTTCATTTTTACGTCTTTAAGTTTCATTTAAGTAAGTTTCATTCTTTCTCACAGAAATTCTGTGAAGAAGGCACATATATTCGGCTTTTGTTTTGCCCTTTCACAAGCTATGATGTTCTTTACCTATGCTGGCTGTTTCCGGTTTGGTGCCTATCTGGTGGCAAATGCATACATGGAATATAAAGATGTGTTTTTGTAAGTATCTCTTGCAATCTTATTTCTGTCAGTCCAGACAGCAGTCTTTGTTTACTGCCGGGGATATCAGGAATCCATTGGGTAAGCTATGAGTAAACAGGCCAATTCTTCTTCTGTACTTAAATATAATGAAAGGATATTACAAAGTGGGTACTCCAGGTGATTGTAGTCTGAGCTGTTCAATAAGCCTGATTCTTGATTTCCTTTTCTGTATTTATTTGGGACTATTATGTTTTCCAGAGGTTGAAACAATATCCTACTTACATCACTTTTTTTACTCTTACCAGTCGCGAGGGTCTCTGTATATTCTACAAAAAACTTTGTTGTACATGTTTATTGAAGCATAATAATATTGTAAAAATCTTTTTAAGGATAGGTCATCAGCATCTTTGTTGCTTCTATACCAGAGAAGATTTCAAATTTCAATGAATAAACTTAAAATAACTGTTAAATAATTGGAGAATAGGATTTCATAAGATAGATACTATTCACTGTAAGGGAAGGATGACTAAATTATTTTAGATGACGTTCTGATAGGAAGCTTATTCACTTAAATGAACTTATTTTGTATGGTAAGTGAAAGTATGAACCCTGTATGTAAGAACAGTATGTAGAGTACTATATATACACCCCTAGTCAGGTGGAGCACTTTATTTTTAATTTAGACAGGTAGTGCAAACAGAATACGATTCTAATTTGCAATATTCTTAGAACATCTATCCATTGCAGTCTGAAATTATACAAGGAGTAGTACAATTCTTTCTCTCTAAAGGCACTTTATAGGCTTTTAAGGGCAAAAGCGGTACAGAAATTAAACAAAAATTTGTTGGCAACTTGATTAAAAATAGTTAACACAACTCATGTTGACTGGAAGATGTTGGGAAGTGTCTGTGTCTCATCTGCCAGCCAAACATCTCCAGCCAGGCTGAGTGAGTGAACTGCCAGTGGCTTAGTTAGACTTGAAAGAGATTGTCTGACCTAAAACTGTGTAAGGCCTTCTGGGCTGTTCAAATGCAGGATAAAACAGATTGGTTTATATAGCTCTGAAGAGAAAAGATTAAAACTAATATGAATTACTTTATTTTGCCTTAAAACAGGTCTCATATGTCAACTACCATTTCCCAGTTATAAGTAATCCTATGTTGTGTGGCAGTAATTAATAGCTAATAAGAAATAGGAAGAGCACGTTCTTAAACCATTCTAATGTAGCCTGTAAAGATACATCTACATTCACCATAAAGCAATAATAGCATAGTTTTCAACCTTTTTTTGATGTTGTGAACCCTTCAATTTTTTTTTTTTCTAGTAGAGCTGTGATAGAAAATGAAATCTTTGTCACCTTTTTACAGGCTTCATTCTTAGTTTCATTGATACCTTAAAAATTAATCACCAGCTCCCAGAGGTCATTCAACTGTGCAAAATAGTAGAACAGGATTAGAGTAATGATTTTACCATCCATTGCCCACTTTCATCCTAGCCCCCGTTGAGACTTACTATAGTTAACCAGTATTAATAATTAAATAAATTAGTGCTAATAAGTAACTACAGAATTGAATTTGGAACGGAAGCTTGCTTGTTTATCTCACCTCATTAAAAGAGGATAAAAACAAATTTTTGGAGTTAAACAAGTAATTAAAGCAGTAATAGTTGTTACTACTTTCATAGTTTTAAATGTAGGCCTTTTTATTTTAGAAAATAAAAGAAAAAGTTGAGTGCAGCCCCATTTACTTTTCTTCACTGTCTACTTACTGACTTCTTTTATTTTCCTAATTTCTTTTACAGAGTGTTTTCAGCTGTTGTATTTGGTGCAATGGCATTAGGACAAAGCAGCTCTTTTGCTCCGGACTATGCCAAAGCCAAGATATCAGCAGCCTACTTGTTTCTGCTCTTTGAAAGCGTACCCTCAATAGACAGTTACAGCGAGGAAGGAAGGAAGCCTGTAAGTAACCCATGTGTAATGTGTGATAGTATTTATTGACAATATGGACAGTGTTCTTCTCACTTCCTTCAAACGTGAATGTTTTCATCTTCTTCTGATTACTTCCTTAGCTCAATGTGTTCTCAAAGCTTTATCTGAACACAACCCAGTCAAAGCTCTCTATTGTGAGAACCTGTTGTCCAGCTGACACCCACACTGTCTAAAGGTTGTTTTCAAAATCTGGTTAAGGTACCATTTGTGTGAAGTTCAAACAGCAGAAGTATGGTCATTAACAAAATAGCTCAGTGCTGTACCTTGATTTTATAGATTCAAACCATAGAGTTAAAGTTAGCATTCCAGAAAATGCAAAATTCTGTTGATTTCAGTGATGGGAAAAAAATCCCACGACTTCTACATTTCTCTTTAAATCATTGGTCAAATTGTCTTAAAGATGTAACAGTGATGCTATTTTAATTATAGGAAACATTTGGTGGAAACGTAATGATCAAAGATGTGGTATTTAACTACCCAAACCGACCAGAAGTCAAAATCCTACAAGGTTTGAATCTACAAGTAGAAAAAGGACAAACTCTGGCTCTTGTTGGCAGCAGTGGCTGTGGAAAGAGCACAGTTGTTCAGCTGCTTGAGAGATTTTATGATCCACTCAATGGAGAAATGGTAGGTATTTTTGTAAGAATATATCAACACTTTTAAATGAGGGTGAGACCTCACCTGGAGTGTTGTGTCCAATTCTGGGCTCCCCATTTCAAGAGGGACAGAGATCTACTAGAGAGAGTCCAGTGAAGGGCTATGAGGATGAGTGGGGGACTGGAACGCCTGCCTGATGAGGAGAGGCTGAGAGACCTGGGGTTTTTTAGTCTGGAGAGGAGAAGACTTAGGAGGGGTCTAATTAATGTGTATAAATATATGAGGGCTGGGTGTCAGGAAGGAAAGGGCAACCTCTTTTCACTTGTACCCTGCGATAGGACATGGGGCAATGGATACAAATGGGAGTAGAGGAAGTTCCACCTCAACATGAGGAAGAACTTCTTTACTGTAATGGTTACAGAGCACTGGAACAGGCTCCCCAGGGAGGTTGTGGAGTCTCCTTCCTTGGAGACTTTTAAGACCTGTCTGGATGTGTTCCCGTGTGACCTGCCCTAGACTAGATGGTCCTGCTCTGGCAGCAGGGTTGGACTCGAGGATCTCTGGAGGTCCCTTCCAACCCCTAACGTTATATGTTTCTGTGTGATTCTATGTGCTTGTCTGCTTTTATTGAGGTGATAAAGTTTAATAGATATTTCTAGTTTTACTTTTTAAACATTGTAAATGTTAAAAGCAAGCAGTAGCTCATCAGGGTTCTGTATTTAAATGCAATGAACAATATAATGGAAAAAGTCCTGGCTTCCCACATCACAATGAGTTAATGAAACCAGATCCATGTGGGAAAAATATGCCTGATCCATAGTGAAATGATGGCTATGAATTCAGGCAAATTTCTTGGTTTTTTTATATTAACAACACTTTAAAAGCTATAAAGTATACATAGCTATTTCTGTATAATGTAGTAATAGAATGACATATATGTTCTTTCCTAAAACAGTGAACATTGACAAAAATAATTTTAATCATAATTTCTACTTATCAGGAACATCTTTCAGAGCATACCCATTTAGCAAGCAATAGACTCTAAATAGTTTTATTAATTTTAAAATACATCTAATACATTCTCACACTACTTATTCAGCAAATTTATATAGATATTTTTCACATAATGGTATTGTTTATTGCCATTTTCTCCTTGATGTAAATGTGCTCAGACATTTTGTTTGAAAAAGAACATTTTGGGTTTGAGTAGGAAGGATTTCAGAACTGCTCTCTGCAGATACACACAAAAGATAAAGCAATATTTAAATAAGGCCTAGATGCAACGGACAAGAATTTTTTGAGGTTGGAAATGCCCATACAGGTCCAATGTAACAAAGTGCTGTGTAGGGAGAAGAAGCACAGATGCTCCAAAAGTATGTTTAACCAAGTGCAACTTCAAACATCAATGTTTTTGACCTTGTATCCGTAAATAACTAACAATGGTTTACTGAAGGGAAAAGCACAGACCTCCAGCACAGAAACCATGAAGCAGTGGACTAACTCACAAGCTGAGATGCACTGTGGACTAAGTGAAAGGAGTGTACACTTAAATGTAGCAGAAGTGTGATAGAGTTGCCAATAAAGAAAACTGGCTGCAAATGACATATTAAGGAATCCAGAAGTATATTTGTCCATTGTCAGGCATTACATCACAATCAAATTTAAGATTGCATGCTTGGCTTAAAAATGTGTGAATGAGCAAACCCAAATTTTCCTTTAATGAAATGCTACTACTAACCTGTTCTTTTAGTGGGAATATATATTCAAAAATAGAGGATAATTTTCCCATCAAAGAGAGAAGTGGAAGAACTTTACCCAAAGCTTTTTGAAGTTGCCTCAGCCTATCCTATCTTCCATTGCCTTCCAAATCCTTATTTAATCTTGAGGGAAAAAAAAGGACTGAGGCAGCAGAGGGGACTATCCTCACATAATAGCCTTTAGAAAATTTTGGAACAGAGATGTGAAGGAGGGAAAGGGATTATGTGAGCTTTCAATATGTCATGTGTAAGGGCTGCAATTGCACTATTTCTGTGTATGAATTTACAGTAAATACACATGGAGCCACATGACTGAAATTTAAAATGTTGCTTTCTCAGCTTTTTGATGGCCAAAATGCAAAGACACTAAACCTCCGTTGGCTGAGAGCGCAGATCGGCATCGTCTCACAAGAGCCCATCCTGTTTGACTGCACCATTGCCGAAAACATCGCCTACGGGGATAACAGCCGGCAGGTCTCGCACGAGGAGATCGTCAGTGCAGCTAAAGAAGCCAACATCCATTCCTTCATTGAATCCCTGCCAGATGTAAGTTATTCCTTTTCTCTCCTACTCAGAACTGGAGCTGACCTATCATGGCAGGGAAAAATTGTGTCCAGTGATGACTCCCTGATGTATGATAATTCTCCGACATGCCAATAGATCTGAAATGGGGTTTAAATCTTATTTGTTCTTAATGGTGTTTACCATAGGTATTATTACTCTGGGAGACTCCATTGTCTGGTGGAGAGCTGAACGTTTAAGATACCAGGAAAGAAAATCCATAATTAGAACTAAGTGGGAGCTGGAAGTGTGGGGTGGGTTTTTTTTTTGGTTTGGTTTGGTTTTTGGTTTGTGTTTTGGTTTGGTTTGGTTTGGTTTTTGAGTTGAACATTTCTTTTAAAGCTCCTATTTATCTTAAGCATATATAAAAGACTCTGCTAGACTGTCAAGTTTCTTACGCTTTTCTTCCAATTATACCTAGTCAGAATCTAAATTTTTAGTATTCCCACAGTTCAAAAATTACTAAGAAAGTTTTCAATACAGATGATAATGTAAGAATGAACATCTTGAGTCAGATGAAAGGTCTACCATGCACTAAAATCTAGTCCCGTGCAGTGATCAGCAAAATGCATTTACAAATAAGTATTCAAAAAGGGTTAACATTTAATCTCTTTTCCCCTGAACTCTTATCTAACTTTGCATAATATTTGACTTAGGAACTTCCTAAGGTAGAAATCATGTTTTATTATTTAGTTCTGGATGGATTTTTCTTCTGTTAGTTTGACAAATTTCTAACATATGGCAACTTGTATCCAAAGCTTCCTGAAAGAAGAGATTGCCAGCTTAGTTGTATGTTGTATATATATTCAGCTTAATTTCAGGCTGTTAAGCTGCTTTTTGTGTTTCTTGAAACAAATACAAAGGCCAGCACCCATTTTTGCATGTTTATTTTCTAATGACTTACCAAGATCTGCTCTTTCCAAAACTTAGAGAAATTTTGTGTTATATAATAATGTCTCAAACCTTTGGTGCTTTTTGAGTCGTCCTTGTTGGAATAGTCATCATTCGTCTTTGACCATAAAAACCCTAAACATTTGATGATATATATATATGTTACTATATTACATATAATATCTCAAAGACTACTGTGACCTACACATGAGGTTGTCCAGAAACCTGACCGGTCCACTTTAACTGACATGACTTAATTAAAAAAATAACTGTCCAAAACTGCAGTATAGCTATAGAAGAAGTGTATAAATGTATGTATATAATATATAATTTGTCCTGAAACTGATTAATCTTTGGCAATGCTATTTTTTTCTTCAGGACAAACAAATGTGGGTTAGAATAACTGATTGGTTAGTATGCTACGTTGGAGTATTTAAGGTCAGGGTTTGATCCCCAGTATTGCCAGACTTTGACAACAGACAGATTGTCATCTATTTTCTGATTGAGAATATTGTTGCTTTCCAACCTTAGAAGTGTTGCTGCTTTGAATTTGTGAAATGCTTGATGTGACAAAGTCTCCTAGAGGAAGATCTATACATCTGTGGCAGGTAGCAGTTTTGGTCATCTGTTTTCAAAGAGCTGTTGATACAGAATATGCAGATTTCTGGATGGCTGATGTCAGGGTTAATATGCTTACATAGACTTCAGAATCAACGTGCATTCATGGTCTGCACTCGATATGTTGTTTCTAGAAATACAGCACACGTGTGGGAGACAAAGGAACTCAGCTCTCCGGTGGTCAGAAACAACGTATCGCTATCGCCCGAGCTCTCATACGGCAGCCCCAGATCCTGTTACTGGATGAAGCCACCTCTGCCTTAGATACAGAAAGTGAAAAGGTAACTTGATAGTGAGTCAGGCATCTCAAATCTAAACCCATGCTTGTTTGTATTATAATTACTGTTTTCACTCCCTCAGATTAAAGATGGAAATTTGGAACTTAAAGCTGGAAAAGTCTCAGATTAAAGCTGGAAATATGGTGTTTTATGCAAATTACATTTTTATGCTAATAATAGACAAATTTAAACACCTTACTCTTCCTTGCCATAAAAACCTTCTCTTTTTGCATCTCTTTGGTAGTAGACAGATTGAAGTAGCAATGAAGAAGGCATTTCTTTGCCTGGAATTTGTCAGGCTTCAACTGAAAAAGTGCTATCTAAATTGAATCAGGAAGCACAAACTTCAGAAGCTGGAAAGACTGAGGGTTGTGCCACAGGACTTCTTTTCTGGGAAACTGCCAAATCTTGCTTTCATAATTTCTCTTGCTTCTCCCACTGCTCTCCAGTACTTGCTATATATGTTCATGGCTAATATGCAAACTTCCAGTGAAAAAGTTGATAGTACACTTATTACGGCCAAAGGTACTACTGCTATCATGGCATAGCAGAAGTACTATCTAGCTGCAGAAAATCAACACACATTCTACAAAAAAATGTAACAAATATTATAATCTGAAAAGCTGAAACTCTAGGAACTATGTTTTGATCAATAAACTATGTTTTGATCAATTCTAGGAAAAAAAAACAAAACCATAAGATTTGAGGGAGAAATGCCATTAAATGATTCCAGAATTATTTGCTTTCTTGATTATGTGCCAGTTAGATACAGAATTTTTTTTTTGTATTTTATTCTACATTAATAAACATAAGCTTTAAGAAAAACATGATTCATGCAACTCCCTGTGAAATCATGAGAATTGGTATGATAATAGTTGACCCAAGATTAGTGACTGAACTCCCACATATAATTAGTCATGGAAGGGACCTCTGGAGGTCTCTAATCAAAAATCCTCTTCAAACAAGGGACAATACTGAATTCAAACTAGGTTGCTTAGTGCTGGATCCAGTAGGGTCCTTGAAAATCTCCAAGGAGATTCAACAAGCTCTCTTTTGCCCCTGTTCCAATGCTTAATTACCCTTGCAGTGATTATTTTTCTTATATCCACTCAGAACCACTGCTGTTAGAATTTATGACCGTTTTCTCTTGTCCTCCTACTATGCATCTCAGTAATGAGCCTGGTTCCATCTCATCCTCTTACCTACCATGGTACCACCTGCTATGACACTTTTGGCTCTTTGCCAATACAGGCTGATTCTGAAAGAGGAAGCTAAAGCCACAGATATTCCGTTTCCCTCGCTGTCACACTACAGCTTATTTCACAGCTGACACTTGAGGTGTATATCACAGCAGCTGCCAGACTAGCTCACCCTTTGGTTTGTCCGTTGTGCAGATAGTGCAGGAGGCGCTGGATAAAGCCAGAGAAGGCCGCACCTGCATCGTGATAGCTCACCGCCTCTCCACCATCCAGAGCGCCGACAAGATCGCTGTCATCCAGAACGGCAAGGTCGTAGAGCAAGGGACCCACCAGCAGCTCCTGGCCGAAAAAGGCATCTACTATTCTCTGGTCAATGTTCAGAGTGGGTCGTGCAACATGTAAATTAAAGGCAGTATTTATCTCTGAATTGTCACTGTAATTATTTCAGTACTGCTACTTTTGTCACTGTAACTGTTTCAATATCAATAGTCAGTCTTGATATTTTTGATTTTCCTCCTTTCTTTCCTAAGTCCTATAAAACCACGAAATACTGAGTCAATATGTACCAGTTTCTCACTACTAGTCATTATTCAAACCACTCCACTATGTGGCCAAAACAGAGGCCTATTGCACTATTAGAAGTAGAAGCATGCTAAAGGCAAATGTAATTAATATTAGCTTGCTTTGAACTCTGTCAAAATCGCACTAATCGGGCATGTCTGGTAAACAACCTGTAAACATTTTCATGCTCAGTGAAAACAGTTTTGCTGTTGCCAGAGACAAACCTCAAGCCTTATCCTCACTGTGCCTATGTAAGGCACGGTCAGTCCTGGCCTAATAGGCTTGTTATCAACTTGTTATGAGCATTTGCAGGTCAGCTGGAGCTTGATACCAGATATCTTGTTATGATGTGGAATTTTAGCTCAGGATGACAGTAAAGGTCTTGAAAATATGAACACAGGCTTTAAACAAAGGTCCCAGAACTGTAAGTACCTCACTGATGGTCAATTATTGATTATTGAAAAGATGCAATCTTAACAGCTGGGAAAAGACTGCTTGAAGTGCGACATAGAAAAGAAGCAAGAAAAAAACCACAATAGATGGGCAAAGCAGGGCACCTGCTGCTGTCTGGGAAAGCAGTATTTGCAAGCCTCCCAAAGTTCTAAAGGTCAGAGGTCAAGGGCTAAGAATTCTCTAAAGACTGCAATATTTTATAAAAGGTGAAAATATTGAATTTGGGTTTGGTGAAGGGGGAAGGAGATCACCCTTTTCAGTGTTAGCTTCCTGCACTGAAGAGCTCTTGAACCTGATCACCCTGATAACTAAAAACTCTCGAGAATTGCAACCATTGGTGCTAATTAAATGGCATCAGCTTTGTGGTATTGTATATTAGTTGCTGATTTAGGATGACTGGTAAGGACTAACTCCTTTGAACATGTAGTGATAGTGAATAATAATTATTAAGAACTAACAGTAATGTATACTGTTAATGAATATCTATGCAGTAAAGTTTTGTTTTTAAGTTTAAAACCGGCTTGATTAATCAGTCTTTCACACTTCCATCATCATAATTTTTGATTCTCTAAGATTTACACATATGATCTGTTTTACCTCCATGTAGATATTTGCACACACACAGCCTAACTGATAGGCAGTTAAGGTCATCAGTGTACTAATAACACTCTCCAGAATGTTGATAGGTGCATTCTCATTTTATTCATCTTGAATCACTTACCTGTTTTCTATTGTTCCTGTCTCACATGGAAAACAAATCTGATTAGCCAACTGTTTTTTTTCCCTGTTTGTTTATTGATTGTCCATGAGTAAGGCTAGTAGTTTGCACCATAACATAAGTTACACTTGAAATTGCAGGAATGGAATAGATATTCTCTAACATTATAGTCTGAAGATTCAAGTGAGAACATTCTTTGGTTGATTTTGTTTTTTACTAAATTCTAGATTTTAGCCTTTTATTTTTAAAACCAGGCTTTTTAATTTTTGATGATATAATTTCTGATGATTGGATTAGTAATAATTGGATTGTTTCCTGGGCTTGTATCATTTCAAAGTTGCTTGATTTACCAGACAAATTCAACTCTTCCTGAAAATAAACCGAACACTGTAAATGCTTTACCACAGGCATCTGAAAGTCAGTTTTGAAAATTTTGGCCATATAGTTTAACATCTATTTCAGAAACTCATGCCAAATTAAAAACCTTTCCAAACCAGTCGATTTTCACTATACTTTTCTTCCACATTTCTAAATTAGTATTTCCCATTTGTTGAGATTTACTAAAAAAAGCTTGCATAGTGATTGCTAAACACCTCACTCTTTTAGTTGAAAGGGGCTATAAGAAAAGTAAGCACATTATTTTAAGGATAACAGAACTTTGTTTCCAAATTCACCATAAATGCTTAAGTAACTATGCTGCTGCTCACAATTGCTTTCCTTCCAGAATTTCGTTCCAATTGCTTTCCTTCCAGAATTTCGTTCCAAAGGACCACAACCATATTACTATTACTGCACTACTACCAGATGCCTCATCATGTAATTGAGTCACAAATCCAAAAGGACAGGCAAAGATACCTCCAAAAATGTGTTTTTCATATTATTTTCACATTATAAAGCTTTACCTAAAGGATGGGTTGACTGACCTAGGACAGTTCTGCTGTAAGGACCATTATTCTACAACATCTTTCTAGAGGGCATAAAAGACCTTACTTCCTAGCTCTGCCGTTTAAGTTAGACTCTGAGACACTTGATTCACCCCAATGTCACAAGATACTTGTCTTAGCTGAGTCCTTCTTGTTGGAATAGTCAGCATTTGTCTTTGACCATAAAAACCCTAAACACCTGAAGACACTAAAGATCTCTTTGAAACATTTGTTAATGAGTAATCCTTGTAATCATTCAGAGTACAAACAGATGTATTCAAGATGTATTGTCTATTTGTACATTTATAACTATTCCTCCTATTTCTCCACCTCAAAATCCAATCTACTTTGTAGGCTTGGTCATTGAAAGGAAAGAAGACAACAACTTGGAGGAGAAGAGAAACATAGCATGCTGCCTATGAATACAGGGTAAAAACACTCAACCAGCAATTCTTGTGCAGAAAAAGATTACATATCTGCTAAATGAGAAACTACTCTGACATTACTCCTCATGCATACTAAAGTTGAGAATTACAATTCAGGATGCTAATGTTGCAAGGTTTAGCTTCTTAATGAAGCATACAACAATCTAGTTTTGCAGATGTTATAATTTCATTTCCTGCAATTTCCTGAGGAGCTCAATAAATCAACAGAAAATTGTTGCTCACCTGCTCTTGCTTGAAGACATTTGAAATCTTTCCTTTGAAGACATGATTATTCCTTCACTCATTCTTCTCTTATTATCTATGAGACTTTAAAGACAGAAAACAAATATATGTGATTTCCACCTAAGAATCTTTCATTGATAAAGAATTTATAAATTAACCCTTTAAATTTCTCATGAAAAAATGAAAAGCTAAGAGGAATTTCTGTGTCTGAACTTTCACACCAGTTTTCTTTGAGTTCATGATGGAAGCTGTGCATTTTCTTCATCATCACTAATACTATTAATCAATTACTTTTCATTCTGTGGCCACATCTTTAATTTGCCACAGGATGGCCTCATTTGTTCACACAGTAGCTAAATTCAGCTACATTTTCTTTTAGACTATTTTCTTTTCTTCGTCATGTATGTCTTATTTAACTCAACACATGCAATGTTCTGTCTAATCTGAAAAACAATATTCTTATGAGCTTTTGGTTACTGTCCAGAATCTTTTCTGCCCAAAGGAATAGTATCAGTTTATATTCCTGACTGCATTGATACCATGTCTACTAAAGTCAGAGTTCTTAAGACCTAGACTAAAGCAGTAGACACTAAGTGCTCTTCCCAGCTTGTGCTACATTAAGCAGTCCTAATGGTGGCAATCAGTGGTGGCAGATAATGTTTATCTTAGCATTTTAGTCAAAGGCCTTTAATTTGTTCTCCTTATTTTTTTTTTTTTTTTTTTTTTTGGTCACAAAGTATTTTGTGATAAAGCAGAAGGTTAAAGAAGAATCCTCCCATGTAGTAAATATTTATGAATATTACAAGAGTAAAGAGGTTTTCATTTAGTCTGGGTAATTTGATTCCAGATACAGATTTTAAGGGCCATTTTCCTAAGTGAATTATGTCTTTAAGAGATATTACATTCAACACCATTGCCATTCTACATTGAATTTCAGGTGCTTATAATTTTTAAAGGACAGGTACAAAGGTTTACAAAACAGGGTATTAAAATGTTAGTTGCATTAAAGGGAAACTTTTCCCCTGCAAGACAACAAGCATTTTACCACCAACATCAGTATTTTATACTAGGTGAATTTAGAACTTCCTGCTTATAGAAGATAAAACCATTACATAATTGCTTGATTTTGCAGCTGTGGAGAAGAAACTCAACATTTGGTTCAATTTAATATACCACAGGCTTTAAAAGAGATGTACAACACACTTCTATGTCACTTAAAACAATCTTAAAATAAATTAATTATAGGTAAAATTGGCTTCAGTGAAGATACAGAGATGATTTATCACTCTACACAGAGGAAAAATCTATTTCTATGATGAGATTCCTTCACAAGAAGAAATATTTGATGATTATATTTGTGAGTACTGTAATGGAAAAATTTTCTGAGAATATGTTCTTGTCAAAAAAAAGTAATACAAGTACACAATTTCAAACTTTCAGCTGCCAGCTGTAGAGGAAAAGCAGACCAGCTCAGTCAGTAAAGAGTTTGAGGTTTGAGACACAAAACCAGAGCTGACATTTCTGAGAAACCCCATGGAGCACCAACACACCCTTCTCTGGCCACTCCTGCGCATACAGCTTTAGGAGTTTATGTGTGTGTAGCTGCTCATGTGGTTGAGCACTGGCCATGACTATAATTCTTGTACTATCACCTACAAACATCAGAAGAGCAGCTGCAGTCCACCTGCCCCCATCTCTCTCCTTCTTGAGGATAAAGGAAACCCCTCTTTTAGATGTTTGCCTTGCAGTTCCCACATCATGTCTAAAAGGAAAGCCTCAGAACATTCCTGCAAATAAAAGGAATTTCTATCTCAGATTGTCAACAAAAGTTTTGAACTAGTGTTTTCATCCACAGCTTTTGTTTCTACTCAAACATATTGCAGATGTTAAGCTTCTGAATACCCAGATATCAATAAGAAATATTACACCTGGCTTAAGGGGAGTAATTTCCACATTTTTAAGTGGTTTTGCCTACTGACTTCAGTTTCAGAGATGATAAATAATGGACAAACTGGTCAATTATTTGGATTCCAGCCTACTGATTGATGTTGCATATATTAGGCATCCAAATATAATTTTTTCATCCATTTACCATTATACACAATACATCATTAAAAGTCCATGTCAGG